CCCCCCCCCCCCCCCCCCTGCTCCCCCCCCCACCCGACGCGCGAGGAATTCGGGCCGTGCCGGAAGACGGCCTCCAGCATCTCAGAAGACCTTCGCACGCGGATCGAGGCGTGGTCGTAGGGAAACCGCCGTCCGACTCCGTGGTCGGTACGTGTGGTACACGCGGACGAGTCTCCTTTCGGTCCACCTCGATGCGATACAGTAAGTAGAGTAAGACCGGTACGTGCAACGTAAATTCGTCCTACTTGATAGGTCGTCGCCGGAATCGAGAGGCACGGCAGATGTTCCTTTCTCGCGCGAGTTTCGCAGAGGAACGTGGAATCCTTTCCATCCGCGGCGAAAAGGAGCACGAGGCGCACGGAGCCTCGAAACGAGTCAATCTCGGCAGACCGTTTTTCTTCCTAAATGCGGTTTTGCGACTATTAATAGTCTTTACGATCGCACGATCGGGATCATATTATTTATCTTTACGAGAGGCAATCCAAGTGCTTCCTGCCCGATACGTAAAGCATTCGACGAAGCGGGAAAAGCGTCGCCTCACAAGTTTCTCTCATGCGGACGCCGAGTGGAAGATGCCATCGCGAGGACACTCCTTTCCACCTGCTAGATCTGGCTTTCCACCTGCTAGATCCGCCTTTCTTAAACGTGCCCAGGCCAAAAAAAAAAGATTAAAGACAGAGCGAAAACTTAAAACAAAAAAAAAAGGTGTGTACCGTTCAGCCGAATTTGAAATCGTTTTAAACATGATGACACTAATTTTCGAAGCTTACAAATTGACGCGATGGTGAAGGGGGTCCGAAGGTTATAAAGGGTTGAGAACCATAGGTTTCATTTCGTGATCGAAGTGAAAGTGAGGAAATTTGAAGAAATGCGCTGTAAAAAAAAAAAAAAAAATCCCTGCACGGAGGAACGCGATATCGTGTTCAGAACATGCAACATATTTTCTTTATCTGGCCAGGCAGTCGAGATAAAATAGTTTAGTTTTTTTCACGTAGAAATCTTCATATTTACTGTACTTAATTACTAAGCCCAAGAAATACGTTTTGAATGGGATGTGAAAAAGTGACACCATTCACACGCGGAACTCATAAGATAACTTTTGTACTTTGTACTTTTTGTACGGATTTCCTGAAAATGATGAGAAACATTTCACGTCGGAATTTCTTGTGGAGCCCCTCGCACGGTAGATGATACCTGTGTATATCCGTGCTAGGATGCATTTCCGCATCGATTTACCCGTTTCTTTCATCTCACACGGCAGATCATCTCCAATGATCCGATTCGTCACGAAATCGCGACGTTGAAGGGCAACGAGACGTTTTCTGAGGCACGACGGAGTCATCGGCCGCGAACGACGATCGGCACGAAACCGCGGGAGGAAAGCTCCGTGCTCGTCACGGCGTGAGGAACCGCAGAAGCGGAAAGGCCGTTTCGTTTTCCCCTTTGTTTTCGTCTAAGCGATACGGAAGATCTTTACGAGATGTCCCAGATTTTCTTCGGATCGATGGGAGAGGAGAGGAGCAGAGGTTTAAAAAAAAAAACTGTCACGGTCCAGAGTGGACCGGGAGGGATCGTGCTCGACAAAATCACCGTGTGTGACACTTTCCCTCACACCCCACTTCCACGGTAGTTTCTCTCTCCGGTCGCCACCGCATTTAAACGACGACAAAAAAAGTCAAAAAAAGGACAAAAAAATGTGCGGGACTGGGTAGTAAGTGCCGACAGACCACCGCAAAAGGCGGTCTTGCGTCCCCTACTCCTTCTACGTTATGAAATACATCTCGGGGCTGACAAGCTGCTCGAGAGAAATCTCGACTAAAATATCTTCTCTCGCTTTCTTTTCCGCCGTATGACGCAATTAAGACCCTCCCCTTTTCTTATCTTCGACCACGGTCGGTTCTCTCGAGCCAGTGAGAGTTCGTCCTGGACATGGTCCACGTGCCACCCTTTCGCGGTTCTCCTTTTCGTCTTCGGTTTCGCGAATGCCATGAGGGCATCGGTCGGACTTCCCGTTTCGGTAGTCGTACGAGGACCCGTGACGAAGTCCCCGGACTCGGATTTTTCCTTACCATTTCCATCGAGGGAAAACGCACCAGCACGTGGTCGCCGAGAGAGTCGAGACGACTTTCGAGGTTGGTCCCGTGCGACTTCGTTCTCCTTCGGCGTCTCGAATTTCATCTAAAGGGTCGTCGTTTCGATAACGTCGAAGAAGTGGAAGCTGCCACGACGACAGCGCTGAAAGTGGTTGCAGAAAACGGTCCGCAATCTCGTTTCGCCCAAGTGTAGGACCGATAGAAAAAAAAAAAAGACTGCTAAACTTAGATCACGCGGTGACGTGACTTCCCTCAATGGATTGGTAAGAAAAAACATTCAGTCCGACAACTTATGGATAAGTTCTTGTAGTTGTTGTTCTCGTTTTCTTGGAGTGACCATAGCATACGAGAAACGGAGCGAAGTCTCAAAATCAAATATCAGGGCATAAATTCACCTAATCGATTGCCACTGTCGTCATTCTCGCTCATGAAACGAAAGCAAGGTGCGGCTTTCACGGCATCATCGATCGATATTCTAGTCATCCGTCTCCTCTGAATTCCCAAAAGACGCAGGTGCAATAAGGAAGTACGAAAAGGAGTGCGCTGACTGCTCGACCTAGACCGGCGAAAAATGGGAAGAGGAAGCGGAGGACAATTGGCTCTCACTCTCTGCTGTGTGCTGGGAAGCCTATGGTTCACCTGGGGCTTCCCGGATGGTGCGCCTATCGAGGCTTGCATCCTGGATAATCCAAATCGTCCTAATCATGGATATGCGCCCCAGGACACGAGAGTCAACCCTTCTCCGTACCTCGTTGTTGCCTCCAATTACGTCTATCAACCGGGAGAAAAAATCGAAGGTATGTATACATGAAAAAATCTCTTGTGAAAAAATTTAGTATTACGCCCACGAACTACAGAAGTGGTCATTGCAAGAAATTGTTTCTCAATGGCTTTTGGTCCGTATTTGGTTGACAGTGGTGATTGCGAACCATCCGTTCCAAGGGTTCTTCCTTCAAGCAAGAGACATTGATACAAACAAATGGATCGAAGGAGGACAATTTTTGGCTGGAAAAGGAATCCAGCCCATTCCAGAATGCTCGGCTGTCACACATTCGGACAAGTTACAGAAACCGGGACTGCGACTCGTTTGGGAACCTCCCCAGGGGAAGAAGGGTTTTGTCTACTTCACGTGAGTTTGCTAGCTCGTCAAAGTCGAGGCTGAATAAGCTGTCTGAAACCTTGGTACAAATATTCAACTTTGAGCGTTTCCTCTGCAGGGGAACTGTGCTCCAGAACTATACAACATTTTGGTCCGATATCATTGCCTTGGTTCCCGATCCCAACCGGCAGCGAGGGTAGAGATTTTTTCATTCATTCCACAAGGCACCCATTATCATGCTAACCCCACTGACTGTCCTGTGTCAATCTTGTGATCTCATTCCGATTGTTCAGAAATGCCTCTCCAAGCACCTTCATAAGGCATTTCTTCCATTTACGTAAACTCCTACTCACAATTTCATCCTAGCTATCCTCACTCTCATTTTTTTGTATAAGAGTTGAATGGATGCTACAGAATAAAAAAATTCTCGACAAAACAAAGAAACAAAAGAAAGAGTTATATGAAGCCATTGTTTCCCATATAAGATCGGACCTACAAAGTAGACCCTCATGTTTTTTCTCTTGCTCAATGTTTTCATTCAAGAATGACATTCTGGATGTGGAGTTGCAGACATGACATTCTGGTAACAAAAGCATACTGTTCTCATATTTCTAGGGATGTATTTTCTGAGCCTTTTTCACATTTCTCCACTTATTCATAATAGTGGCATTATAACCATGCAGGACAGAACAACTATTACTTCGACTATTCACTGTTCTTTCACTGACAAAACACTAAGTTGATTTTCACATGAACATGAAGTCAGCATCAAGAAGATCTACACTCAATGATGGTGTGCTTCTCGTTCCCTTCGCTGCTTCTCTTCCCATGCAGCAATGTTTTCAGGGCTCCTGGCCTTGGTCTGGATCCACCAGAAGACAGGGGCTGATGCGACATATCCATACAGAAAATATCGCCAGAGATAGAGTGTGTCATAATGGAACTTCCATGGGAAGCTGAGGACTCTTGCAGTCACGGTGTAAGGGAATTTCATATACCTCATCTTGGAAGGTTAACAGGCCTGCTCACCTAAACAGTGGAAGAAGACACTTGAATCTCACCATCAATGCATGAGGCTGAAACCATGTCAATCACTATTTTGAATTATGTCTATCATCCTTCAGGAGATTTGACTTTTCTATCATCCAATGGTTCTGAATCTCAGAAACATTGGATGTTTATCCAAGAAACTTACATTTTTACTCATAGCAACAAGAGATGCACACCTACAGATTTCTCAACCCATGCCAAAAACAAGTGGCTAATTCTTATAAACTTGGCATACCAAAATCCAAGTATTTTTTTTTACTTTCCATATCCTAGGTCTAAAGACACTTAAAATTCAGAGACTACATTGGATCATAAAATTCAGCTGTGACAAGGAAAGGCAAGTGCCTTTCTTTATGTGCTAGAGAGCAAGGCAAAGACATGTTAGCATACTTTGTCATTTCTTTCATGAATCATGGTAAGACTAATGAGAATAACAGAGAGAGGTTCATCATGACAATATGCCCTAGATGCCATGGTGCCAGCAAATTCTTTGAAAGCTACCAAGCCATTAATTAACTTTTCTTTGCTTGGATATAACCAAGCTGTTTTTTTTCACACACTCAAATATTCCTTTGCTTATTCACTGTGCATCATTCTGGACCCATTAAAAGACATAGATATCAAATATGACTCTCTGTATTGACTAGATATGATATGCAGCAACTCATTTATGAATCAGGAAATCTTATTTAACATGCATGATAACTATCTATTTATCATAAGAGGATCAACATCAACGTGTGAAATACATTATTTCTATATAATAACAAATGGGCCGGGGCAAGAACCACACCTGTGAAGCTATTGAGGCAATAAAAGCACTCACAAGACAAAAAAATATTTTAAAAAAATTGTGCGAGAAAAATGGGGACTATCCTATGATGTTCATGTGATCTCTTTGAACCAGGTTCATGTTGACAACTTGGTTCATATGCAAAAAAAAAACTATAGGAAAAGGTATGGTTTTCATGCACTTGGGATTACACTAGGGATTTTGTGAAACACTAATTTTCTGCCAAGGATGGACTTGCAAAATGTGGACCAGGGTTCCATGAAGCATTTGCAGATCTCCTAGGATGTTAAGACCTAATGACATATATTTATGACTGCCTCAATACATGTTGTAGCATGAAGTACATGCTTAGTAAAATCTCACTCTTGTGCAATGCCCATTGATTGATGCCCATTGATCCCATTGATTTAACACACTATCTCAGGATTCAACAAAAGGGCAAGTAGGGTGAGTCCTCTCCCAGATTTAGATTTCACTCCACACTACAGCATGATGTGCATGTGAAGGCAACTGAGCTAATGGTACTTCCTATATTAGAAATAAACCTCATCAGAATTTACCAATATGGGAGACTACAGTGCTATATGGTATCACTCCCTCACTCATTTCTGTGCTTTAATCAGTAGAAGACCATTAATCCTCAATTTTAGCAACAAAAAAAACCATCCCAGAATGTATCCTGACACCAATTTTCTCAGTCAAAATTGCACTGTAACTGACAAACCAAAACAGACTGCCAAACCACTTCTTGGATGGAGAGCAATGATGTCTTGCTGCAGTTAGAGTGCTCACCCAGACAAGACCATTGAATTAGGTTTTTCTCATCGGCATACATAATAGCTAAGCTATAAGATGCACTCTAACCAGCATATGATCTGACCAATGAACCAAATCTACATCACTGATAATGAAACTATAGTATCTTAGGTCTGCCTTTGTTGATCCCCTGACTCTACTGCTTCACACTCATCTACCATTCCACAGGGGGAAACCTAACATTAATTCCAAATGATACATGACTGAAATCTGCAGAATATGACCACACTAAATAATTGGAACTTAGCAAGAAGGTGCAATGAGATAATCTCCTAGACCAGGTGTGGGCAAACACTTTAGCCAGTGGGCCGTATGAGAAAGCACAAAAGCCTTCAGGGGCCACAGCAGTTTTGTTGTCCTCCCAGTCTTCAAGCTCCAAACGTATCCAACAGATCCTTTGCCTGTTATTGTACTGTCAGGTGCCTGGATAGTTGGAAGAAGCTGTAACACTTGATCCCTTGGAAGGGCCCTCTTAGTCATGCTAGGAGGGGTGTCTGAGCTGTCACTACGGGCCACATTATTGCTGCAAGGCAAAAGCTGGTGAGCTGTTCAAAATGCTGCTGTGGGCCAGATCCAGCCAGGTGGCCATAGTTTGTCCACTCCTGTCCTAGACCCTTAAAAATGGTAGAGAACTTATAGTCCAACAAGATACATAGGATACAGATAAACCAATCAGGTCCAGGAGGCTGAAAAGGCCATGAGTGTGCACCCTTCTACAGAATCCCATCTTATCCTCATCCATCCATAAATTTTTCTTTGTCACCTGTACTCCTAGATTACAACTTGCTCTGTGGTTTCCCTTCCCAAACATGTTGGGGTCCCACTCAGAAATACTGGCTTGACTTCATCAGTTTCACTACCAAACCATATACCTCCCACCTGCCTATCCTTTGCTAGGCCTACACCTGACATTAAATTATACAAATAGGCAAAAGAAAGGGTGAACATGAAAAAGGTGTGGTGAGTGGCTTGGTTGGTTGTAAGGCTAGCTCCTGTACAAGGAACTTGAGTTCAAAATTGATCCAAGTTGAGCACTTATTTCTGAGTGGGAGTCACAGGATATTGAGAATGGAAATGTCAGCATGTGGCATTTTCATCTTTATATCTCACTCTAATGCTTGCAGTCACTATCCTTTATTCCACCACATAGAGCATATGTTAGCAGACAAATTAGACCCAATTGGTAGGCAAGGAGACATAATTACAATTTGCATTCATCAGCTGAACCTTGGAATCCAGGAGTATTAGCCTACTCTGGCTGGGCATATCAGCAAAAAACTTTGTCCATACTGGTAAGAGCCAGATAGAGAAAAAACAAAGGAGGAAAGTGAAAAATAAATTTTTATGAAGATACATACAAAACTTGACCCTCCATAGAACTAATGCTCAATGGAAGGGCATCATCGAGTAGCAAAGATGTACGAAACATATTAATGATGTATGTGAGGCCTACAGAGAGGAGGAGGGGGAGTATATTCCCTATGACTTAGCAGTACTTGAGAAGGTTTAAAGGTGGGCTATCAAAATTTGAGAGACATATGTAAACACTATGGCTCTATTCTCCTGAGGGTAAGTTAATGAGGGGGGGACCTCATCTAGGCTTTTAAAGTCAATATGGAAATCGATAACAAGAAGCATAATTAGTTTCTCCTACTGAATGGTAGCAGCTGAATGTGGGGAAAATCAGTTCAAGTTGCAAAAGACTCAAGTGAGCCTCAGGTAGCACAACAACTTTTTCACTTGTGGGGTGGTTAAGGCATGGAATGCGTTAGACGACCATGTAGTGGTTGTGCCCCTTCCATCTCTAACTTTCAGTAGGAGATAGAAGCCTTCAGGAAAAAAGAAAAAAAGGGAGCAAGTAGTATTAAGTAAAAAAAAACGACAGTCGACGGCAAAGCGAACGCTCCCCAAAATATATGTAATTTTAATATGGATAGGCTTAACATAATGTTAAATGAACGCTCGGCCTCGACCCAGGATGTTATAACGGTCAGTGATGCCTCTTGACATCCCATCTTGAATCTAATTGCAAATACTGGCACTTCCAATGACCTACTAGGTTTACGCAAGGTTTACAGGTTACTTGGACTTCGTTGAAGTTACGCTAGTGGGATTCAGATGGGAGACGATGTTCCATTATGAGGGTGCATTCATGGGCCCGCATCCTCCTGACCTGACCTTGGTTGCTCATCGTGATGGAGCAAAAGTGAGGATAAGAGAGCAGCCATATGCAGCCAGTGTTGTTGTGGTCCGTTCAACTAAGAACGCATAACTGACTACACCTGAAAGCTGAATTGGGAGGAATTCCTCCTTCGGGAAATTACTTTCGAGAAGCATTGCCTAACAAAAAGGTATTGGTTAAAAGGCCTTCCATGTGACAATAGCACTTTCAAAAACTCTTTTTGGACTATGTGACTTGCTTGTGAATCAATGAGATGTAGCATTTTGATAGGATCCCAGTTTTCCTGCCATCGCTTATTGTAACAACTCTCACTGATACATGGTGTACACAAAACGAGTTAAAAAAAAAACATGCATTGACAGGTTACTGAAGCTTGCTTCAACCGCTCAGGCGCCTGCATCGAAAATGGCGGTGGTAGTTTTAATTTAAGAAAATAAAATTAAGACATTCAGGTAAATACAGGGTGTCCACAAGAAACCTTTACAACTTTTAATGTTGTAACTGTTTTAATGTTGTAATGTTGTAATAAAGAAACATAATAAGATACAACTTTTTGCACATGAAAGGACAATTCAAAGAGTTTATGTCACA